CCAGATGATGATGATGCACTCTAAGGTTTAACTGCTTCCTTAAAGTAATAAAAGACTAGTGCAGTGTTTTAAGTTGGAAAATAAAAGGATTATATTTTTATTTGAAAAGATCTATTTAGCTATAGAGTTAGTTAATTGATTAGAGGCACCATTATGTGTCCTGGAGAGAGACATTGGTAGCTTGAATTAGGGTGGTAACAGCCCCTACAAAGCTGTTCTACTCACATTGTGTCCTGATTCGGAAAAGTAAAGAAGACTGATTTGTATATATGCTTGGGAAAGGGGAATACAATGATGCCTGGAATGAGTACATTTATATCCCTTGCAGTGTGCTGGAGTCTTTTTTGGTACATACTTTTTAAAAACTATTTTATTTTTTTCTTCTCACTTTACAATTTTTCTAGTATGCATACTTAGCAGTATGACATTGGGCAAGATTCTTAAAATTTCTTCAGCCTCAGTTTTTCTAATCTGTGACTACTCTATGCAACCTCACCATTTTTCCCATCCACTCCCTGTCTTTCTTGGCCTGCTCAAAGTACCCATTTGAAAGTATTAAATAAGGATTAGAAATCACCATACCCTTCCTTAGTCAGTAGCTACCATAGCCACACATATGTGGAGAGGTAAGGAAGTTTAGAAGAGACAGTGTGTTTTATTTTATGTAGTTCTGTGTTGTTGGGATTTTCTACAAGCTGAATGTATTTTAATATAAAATGAAAGATGTATTTTAAAATTCTAAAACTTCTCTCCTCTTCCTCCAAAATTAATGTAGGAAAATTTCCTAAAGCACACTATTACAGTGAGCCTGTTGGAATTTAATATCTTTACTAGTCACTGAGGATTTTCAGCTTTTAGGTTAAATATCAGTGTGTTTTATATGTAAGTAAATATACGTATATGTGTGATATGTAGTGTAGTAAAGTGTAACATGGTATAATAGAAGTATATGGATTTGGTTAGATTTGTGTGAGCTATTGAGATTTTCCGAGATAGTCTTAAAATACTTTTTATTGTACATGTGTTAAATGCCAAGGACTGTGACATGTGCCATACATTTTTTTTTTCCATTTATCTCCACAATGTGAGATAGTGTTATTTCCCACTTTCCCACTTTCTGGGAAAAAAACCTGAAACTCAGAAATTAATTTGACCAAGCACATATAACTGAAGTGGCAGAATTTGATGAAAACCCAGTTCTATCAAGTATTGCTAACTTCTCAATTTGTGTTTTATCTGTTTTCACCATTATAGTGCTGGAATGAATAAACCCATTTTTCTCCTTTAAAATTTTTGGGATATGTGGGCTGGCCCCGTGGCTCACTCAGGAGAGTGTTGTGCTGGTAGCGCCGAGGCCGCGGGTTCGGATCCTATATGGGGATCATGCTCTCACTGACTGAGCGTGGTGCAGACCACACCGTGCTGAGGGTTATGATCCCCTTACAGGTGAAAAAAAAAAAAAAAATTGGGGGGTATGTTATCAAATATGAACAAATGTGAACATATCAAATATGAAAAATATGCATGGTGTTACAACACCAAGAAAGGTCAAGGGTTCATATCACTATACCAGCCAGCTGCCAAAAAAAAAAGAGAAAAATATACAGCCCTTCGATATAGATTTAGAGGTATGCATAGGATGCTGTGAGAGTATGAAGGGACAGTACAGCTCAGTTATTGAGCATCATGCCCATGGTTATACCAGTTAATGTAATCTTGGATAAGTGTGTTCAAATTCGTGTAGACTCAGCTTTTACAGCTTTCACAGTTTTAAGTGAGGACAATAGCTCCTAACTTATAAATTTGTTCTCATAGTTTAATTGAATCTGTGACTGTATGAAAGATCCTTACCATAGTGCCTGACACATAATAAACCATCTAGAGATCATTTCTCTCATGCTGAGCCTCCAAAGGAGCAAAACTTAGTCCAAGGAAAGAAATGAGGAAGGATAATTAAAGGTAGTGAATGGTTTGTGTAGAGGGAGGAGAGTATGACCCCTGTTAAGAAAAAGAAAAAAAAAAGCTAAATACTATAGAAGATCATAGCCAGAAGATGAAAATAATGAAGGGCTGTGAATAGTAAGCTAAAGGGTGGATAATTTTGTACTGACTTATCAGGAGTTATTGACAGATTTAAGTGAGGGGGAAGATTTAATAAATTTAAAAAGTGAAGGCTTGAGGGACAATTTCAACTACACCAAGAAGCAATAGGCAAATCCAAACCTTAGGATAGTCTGTCTGCAAGGCAAAGGTGTAGGCAAGGGACATTATTCTAGATTGAAAACAATTTGAAAGAGCTAATAAGCAATTGCAATGTGTGGACCTTGTTTAAATACAGATTCCAATAAATCTAATATAGAAAGCTCCTCTGGCCAAGAACAATGGGCAAAGATTATCCATCATTTACATGATATTATTAAAAAAGAGGTTATTATAATTTCCATTTTACAGGTCAAAGAAATTCAAAAAAGATACATGAATTTTCCAAAGATACACATACAGTAAGTAACTGAGCCAATATTCAAACCTATTGTCATCTTAATAATGTTAGTTCTTATGCTGCAAAACACTGCCTTCCATAGTATATCGCTATGATAGATTTTGCTTGTGCAGGCTCAAGACACTGAGTCAAGCCTTGAGTTTGGGAATAGTTTTATAAACAGAGACTTTCAAAGAATATTGCATTTTTTTGCATTCCACTGGTATGGAGAGACGGGTTTGTAGTTAAAAAACAAAACAAAACAACTTGCTAGGTCACCAAGAGAAAGCCAATTTCACATGCCAAAACTGTGCTTGTTCTATTACTCTCACTGTTACTAGGTTATGAGGAAGGAAAGAGGAAGAAGAGTTGAGAAAGTGTCTGGTAGTGTTGGGGAGAAAGGGAAAGAATACTGTATTGATGGGTTAGGTGGCTTGCAAGCTTGATGGAGGAATTCGATTTGCTTAATATTGGTTGTGAATAGGTATCTTGAAAACAAGCCAGGCAATTTTCCTCCCTCATTTTTTATTCTGAAAATTTCAAAGCTACAGAAAAGTTGAAAGGATGTGTAACAAACATTGATATACCTTTTGCCTGAAATCACTAATTGTTAACCTCTTGTTATATGTGCTTTTTCTCTATTTATATATACATCTTTTTTTATTATTGAACCTTCTGAAAGTAAGTTGCAGCCAACCTGTGCTTCAGTATATATCTCCCAAGAACAAGGACGTTTTATTTCTTACCTATAATAATTTTATCATATCAGATTTAACAGATAGCAATGTTATGTGGTTTACAGTCCATACTGAAATTATTATTACTATTATTTTTTTTTTTTTTAAGATTTCAGTTCCAGGGCTGACCCTGTGGCTCACTCGGGAGAGTGCGGTGCTGGGAGTGCAGCTGCGCTCCTGCCGTGGGTTCGGATCCTATATAGGGTTGGCTGGTGCACTCACTGGCTGAGTGCGGTGTGGGTGACACCAAGCCAAGGGTTGCAATCCCCTTACCGGTCACAAAAAAAAAAAAAAAAAAAGTTCCAGTCAGGATCACACATGGCATTTGTTTGTCATATTTCTTTAATCTTTTTAAATCTAGAACTCTTTGTCTTTCACAACACTGACATTTCTTTTTTTTTTTTTTTGTCTTTTTTTTTACTGACCAGTAACGGGATCGCAACCCTCGGTGTTGCTCCTGTACCGGGGACCGGCAACGGGATCACAACCCTCAGTGTTGCGCCCGCACCGCTCTCAGCCAGTGAGCGGGAACCAGTCTCCACATGGGATCCGAATACGCATGGGATCCGAACCCTAGGTGGGAGCGCCGCCATGCTCACAAGCGGCGCACTCTCCAGTGCGCCACCGGGCCAGCCCCACTTACATTTCTTAAGAATGCATATCACTTGTCTTATAGAATGCCCCACAATCTGAATTATACTAACTTACTTCTGATTAGATTGAAGTTAAATATTTTTGGCAAGAATTCTATATAGGCAATATTGAGTACTTACTTGTACAATTGCATTGTATCAAGAAGCACATAAGGTTAGTTTGTTCCATATTTTATGTTTTGTTTTTAATAATGTGCAGGATGAATATCTGCAATATGAATATTCTGTTTTTCCAGGAACTTCTACCCAATGATTTTAGCATTAGTCGATTATTCTTATGTGAATGTTTTAATACATTGGTGATTATGGAATCAAATTTTTAACTAATGTCTTTTCTCACCCATAGTAAAGATTTCTTGTCTTGAACCTGAAGATACCTTCTTGAACGAGAAAGCTGTTAAGCATGAAGAAAGCTGTTAAGCGTGACTTCACATCATTGAGTGGGAAGAACGTAGCCCAGCCAATATGTTCTAATGTGAGAAAGACTGAAGGCTGTGGAGTATTCTTGGCAATAGACTGGAAATAAGGCGCAGACGGCTAATAAAGTTTTTAGAGGCTGCCATCAATATGCCAACCCAGTAAAACCAAAAGCTGGTCAGTTTTCAAGGTCTGGGGGAGAATATCCACTGCTTACTGGGTGTTGAGCTCAAGAGAACCAGCCCTCACTAAAAGAAGCGTTACCTTACCCACCACCTTTGTTCACGGCTCAATGGAGTTTGCGACAGCCTTGGCAGACCTCCAAGCAGAGGCTAGCTGTCCCATCTGTCTGGACTACTTGAAAGACCCAGTGACTATCAACTGTGGACATAACTTCTGTCTCTCCTGCATAATTATGTCCTGGAAGGATCTACATGATAGTTTCCCCTGCCCTTTTTGCCAGTTTTGCTGTCCAGAAAGGAAATTCACGAGCAATCCCCAGCTGGGTAATTTGACTGAAATTGCTAAACTACTCCAAGTACGAAGAAGCAAGAGGAAGAGGCGTGAAGAGAAACTCGTATGTGAGATGCACAATCAGATTCTGACCGTTTTCTGTCAGAGGGACCTAAAGGTTTTATGTCCTCAGTGCAGTTTCTCCACTGATCACCAGCATCACTATGTTTGGCCCATAGAAAAGGCTGCCCCCTATCATAGGAAAAAACTGGAGCACAACATTAAACTATGGAAGGAAAGAGTGGAACAAGTTGAAAAAGTGATAACTATGCAAACCAGAAAATCAATGGAACTGAAGAAAAAGGTAAAACATAGGAGAGAAGAAGTAAAGTCTGAATTTGAGCAACTTACATTATTTCTCCAAAATGAGCAAGAGGCTGTTCTTAGGCAATTACAAGATGAAGAGATGGATACTTTAGCAAAACTAAATGAAAACCTAACAAAATTTTTAAATCATGCCTCCTCATTAAAATATCTATTAAAGGAGATAGAGAACAAATATGTGAAGTCAGAACTGGAATTACTGGCAAGTGTTAAGAATATCTACCACAGATATAAAAACTTAAAATGCCCTGAACTTTTTTCATTCAAATTAAAAGAATATGGTTACCGTCTTCCTCCACAATATTCTGGCCTAAACAAAATTATGAAGGTATTTCAAGTAGATGTAATTCTAGATCCTGAAACAGCACATCGTAAACTTATCGTCTCAGAAGATAGAAGAACTGTGCAATATGGAAATACAAAGCAAAACTTACCTCATAATCCAAAGAGATTTTATCTCTGCCCACCTGTCCTGGGTACTAAGGGATATAATTCTGACAGGCAGTACTGGGAGGTAGAAGTCAAAGATAAGCCTGAATGGATCATGGGTGTCTGTAAAGAGTCTCTTCCCAGAAGGAGGAAGAGACATAATCAATCAATTTTAGTACAGGATGGATTATGGGGAATTGGGCAATGTGGTCAGAATAATTATATTGCATTGGGTCCTAAGAAAATTAATCTTCTGCCAAAAGTAATACCTAGTAAGATTGGCATTTTTTTAGACTCTGAAATGAGCGAGGTTTCCTTTTACAATATGAATGATAGATCTCTTCTTTATACTTTTAATGATTGTTTTGCAGGAGCACTTTGGCCTTATTTCAATACTGGAAATGACTCAAAACCTCTTAAAATCTGTACATTAACAGATTCTGAATGAGGAACTATTGGAAAACTTTCTTTTTCTTTCAGTTAGTGG